CAGAAGCAATTTGGTTAAGAAGAGCACTGCTTTTTGGATGTTTTCCCATTTCAAATGGCAAACCAGATTTAGACGAAGCATAGGTATTTTTGGGATGCTTTTTAACCCTATTTTTTGGACTCAGTGGCCCTGGTTGGTGGGTGGGCTCCTGCACACACACAAATGTTGTTCTCAGAAAGTTTCAAGCAATGCAACAGAAAGAACCTGTGTATGTCAGAAAAGCAAGCATGCAGCATTATGAAGTCTGGTGCCTGCAAGGTAAGAAATAACAAACATTCTACTTTTACTGTAACTGACTTTCCATTCCCCACCCTCACCCCAGGCCTCTGCACACACAAATCAAAACCCTCTTAAGTCATGGAATTAAAAAAGAAAACAAGAAAAGCAAACAAAAAGGGCTTCCTGTGGGGTAAATGGAAATTTTTGCCCAGTTTATTTGCCTGGTACATGAAAAGTAGTTCTGAATATTTAAAACCACAAGTAATTGTATTCTTAACAAGTTTTGAGAAGGTAGAGGCATGGGAAGGATTACATATAAGGAGTCTTTGACATAAGGCACCATTTATACAGAAGCAAATCCTGCTACCCTTTAAGATCAGTTACCACCAATTGTCCTACAGAGAAGCGTGCTGGTTGGAAGAAAGCAAACAGATTTATATTAAAAAAACCACGCATGTGCAGTTGAACTAATGGTGAATTCTTGTGAACTAACGTTTCTCCCCTTGAAGTGGAAACGCGTATCTACATTTTGTAGAAAATCTTTTTGTTTTTTTTTTTGCATTAAAATATTTTGGGACATCATCTAGGACCTACGTACTCTTCCTTCTGCAAAATATGAGGCCAAACTATGATGCTACAAGTAATTTATGGCCAGATAAATGAGGACTAGTGTGAGGGTGGAGTCCTGGTGGTGCAGTGGTTAAGAGCTACAGTGAGCTATGGCTGCTAATCTAAAGGTCGGCCGTTCGAATCCACCAGCTGCTCCTTGGAAACCCTATGGGGCGGTTGTACTCTGTCCTATAGGGAAGCTATGAGTTGGAATCAACCCAGTGGCAACGAGTTTAGTGTGAAGGTGTCACCTGGAAATTTAGAGTGTGGATTTTGAAGTTTCATTGTCTGTGTTTACCCCTGCTCAGTCACTTCTCAGCTGTGTGACCCTGGGCAAGTTACTTAATCTCTTTCTCATTTCCTCATCTATAAAAGGCAAATAACAGTGCAGTCTACCTCATAGGGTTGTTGTGAGAACTGAATAATTCATGTGAAGACAGTGTCTAGTACATAGTTTGTACTCAGTAAATGTTAATTATTAGGTTCCTGCCCTGTTTCTTCCTCTGGGCCACTGCAGCTGAGCTCTAGAATATGTGGCAACTTTTATCACTTGACGAAAAAGTGCCCTATGCTTCGTTCCAGAGCTAGGCCACAACCAGGTTAGGAAAAGTGAATGATTCACCACTGTCCTCTGTTTGCTAAAAGAGGACTCAGCCCAACAGTGGGTCTGGGAGCATCTCCTCTTGATGCTGTCAGGAGACAGAGTGGAAGGGAAGGGAACGGAAGGAAATCAGGGTAGCAGGGGTTGGGGGGCCCAATCTTCACTGCTCAGGCAGCTCAGCACCTCAACTAGCTTCTTTTGCAACCACTGCTGAGGCCCAGGCATCTTAAAAAAGGTACCTAGGGGAAGCCCTTGCAACTGGAAGGAACTCACTGGAGGATCAATTTCCTAATTTACCTTTCAAATGCCCTGGCTCTGGTCAAGTCTCCCTAATCACTGTTTGTATTACTCCAGATGTGGATTCTGTTCCAGGGTCTGGATATTTTGGACTGACACCTCGGTCGTGCTGCCCAACCTTAGATTTCAGCTTCTCCTCTGGATGCCATCTCTGCAAACTGAGAGTCAGTCCTGCCTGGCCACTCCCTGGAAGCCCACTCCCTGGATCTCCCAGATCCAGAATCCTAGAAGCTGGTTTAGACCTCATGAGGGCAGGATCAACAGGCCTTAGCATGAATGATTCCACCTGCTTTGGTTAAGAGTGAGAACTCTGGAGCCAGAATCCCCAAATCCTAGCACTGCCACTTACTCACTGTATGACCTTGGGTCAGTTCCTTTACCACTCTGTGTCTCAGTTTTCCTCATCTGTAAAATGGGAAGAGTAGTAGTCCCTGCCTCAAGGGGTTGTTAACAGGCTTAAAGGAGTTAATACATGTATAAGACATAATCTAAACATACAATACACTTAAATACATGTAAAACAATGAAAACTTAATAATATTAGCTATATTTATGATATTTTATATATATTAAGATATACTGTATATTATTTGGAGCCCTGGTGGCATAGTGCTTAAGAGCTCAGGCTACTAACCAAAAGATCGATGGTTCAAATCCACCAGCCACTCCTTGGAAACCGTATGGGGCAGTTCTACTCTGTCATATAGGGTCGCTATGAGTTGGAATTGAATCGATGGCACACAAGAGCAACAACAACAACATATATTATTTTACAATTAATTTTATATACGCTTTGCAATAAGATCTATTATTTCATATAAAACATTTAAGTATATGTAAAAAAATAATAATATATTATTACTATTATTATTATTATTGTTGTTGTCTAGTCTATCTCCCTAGAGGGATAGAGAGACCATAGGTAGGCTTTTCAACTTTCTTTGCTTTCAACTGAGGCTATAGGTGCAGAATCCCTGGTTTCCTGGACTTTGTTGTGATATACAGAGTAGGGTTTATTAGTTTAAAATTGACCCCATCATTTGGAAAATTATAATTTACAATTAATGCCATGCAAATTTCTCAGAACCCTATTGTCTTAGTTATCTAGTGCTGCTATAACAGAAATACCACAAGTGGATGGCTCCAACAAACAGAAGTTTATTCTCTCACAGTCTAGTAGGTTAGAAGTCCGAACTCAGGGTGTCAGCTCCAGGGGAAGGCTTTCTCTCTCTGTTGGCTCTGGAAGAAGGTCCTTGTCATCAATCTTCCCCTGGTCTAGGAGTTTCTCCATGCAGGAACCCAGGGCCCAAAGGACGCGCTCTGCTCCCAGCACTGCTTTCTTGGTGGTATGAGATCCCAATGTCTCTCTGCTTCCTTCTCTCTTTTGTATCTCAGAAGAGATTGACTTAAACCACAACCTAATATTTTAGATTGAGTCCTGCGTCATTAACACAACTGCTACTAATCCCAGCTCATTAACATCATAGAGGTAGGATTTACAATACAGAGGAAAATCACATCAGATGACAAAATGGCAGACAATCACACAATACTGGGAATCACAGACTAGCCAAGTTGACACATACAATTTTGGGGGGACACAATTCAATCTATGCACTCATGTTGCTCCTCTTCTGAATTTCTTCATTTCAATTTATGTAATAATTCTCTTTATTTCTTGTCTTATTCTAAAACTTTCTCATCTCTACAGCAAATAGCATAAGATAGAAGTGTGTCCAAATAAATGTATTATTCATCCTGTATTTTTAGATCCTGTTATTCCCAATAACTATTGATTTAGAGAAGTAGAGCAGTTCTGAAAAGAATCGACATTGTCTCTTTAACTTGTTTTCTTGGAATCAGAATGAGGGTAAAGTTTTGCTTTGTCTTCCAAATCATCAATAATCCATGGATTAAGCACTTTCACTCCATAAGCAATAAACTTGTTACCATCAGGTTGATTCTAACTCACAGCAACCGTATCGGGCAGAGTAGAACTGCCCCATAGGGTTTCCAAGGCTGCAGTCTTTACAGAAGCAAACTGCCACATCTTTCTCCTGCAGAGTGGCTGCTGGGTTCGAACCGCCTACTTCGGTTAGCAGTCGAGCACTTAACCGCTGTGCCACTAGAGCTCCTTCCATAAGCAATAATGCCTCCCACATAGCCGTTGACATCAATTAAGAGACAGCTTATGACTTGATGGTGAGTGTGATATGACATAACCTCCACAAAACCCACTTCCTTTCCAGCAAATAGAAAACAACTGAGAACATGAATTCACTATCGGCTTTGAACACTGAAGGAGGAGATTGAACATGTTTCTGGCAAACATGAAGTCAGGCATCTGGTATTTGTTTCTCTTCTGCTTCCAAGCTGAAGCTCTAACAGGTAAGTGGCCTACTGAATATTTTTTAAGTTATAATTGAAATGAATATTGAGAAAAATAAAAAGTAGAAAAATTAAGCACCAAATAGAAAGTTTTTTTTTTTTTTTTGAAAGTAGGAACAATTGAAGAAGAGCCCAAGCACATGGCTAAGGGCACTGTGTCATCCATGTCACTGTCAACGGCACTGAGTTTGCATTGCTGCCTTTGATGCTGCATTTTAGGATGGAAAAAAAAATTGTTTCATCAGATCATTAAATTTTTAAATTACTTCCTTGGAGTTACCTGTCAGTGGATAAAGTAGAAGAGCGGCCTACTGTTGTCTGAGAAAGATGAAAGGCAAAATGACTGTGTCAACAGAATGAAAATTAAGTAACTCCTGGCATTTGGGCTGGGGATTTTTTTCTGTGGGAAAAAATAAAATGGGAGGGCTTTGAAAAGAAGGATTTTGATTTCAATCTTACCTGGATGTTTTCTTGTCTGCAATGCCCAGGCAGCCACAGAGTTTTTATTGACACAAAGTATCAGTGTTCCCCCAAAATATCAAGGAGAAGTGGATGATGTAAAAGCACTCCCTAGTTCTGTAAACATTAAAAAAAAATTATTTTAAAAGATCGATTCTTTCTCTTGGAAATAGATATCAACTCTATATGAGCAATTTAAATAATGGTACCTACAATTTAAATTAATGTGTTTCTTTTGCTTCTTACTCTGTAGATTTTTATATTGCCTTTATTTTCTCTTGAATTCTGAGCCATGTTCTCCTGGCTGGAAAAGAAAAATGAAATATTAAACGGGGAAGTTCTATTACTACTAAAAGTAAAAGAAAAACATTTAGTAGATAGAATCCCACTTAGAAATAAATTTTGTAGTGGTACAAAGAAATAGATTTTGCCTTTCTCTTCAAAACAATTTTTTTTTAAAGCAGAGTGATCAGATGTTTGATTTTGTGGTAGCTCAAGGTGGCTAATACGCTCTTAAGAGGAATAAGGAATGGGGATTTAAGGTCTACTTGTAATAAGTACCAACAGCAGTTCTAGATTACTGAAGTTACTTACTTGACTATGCCTTTTCTATGACCTAAAAAAGTCCTCTAGCCATATGAATGGCATATGAATAGTGTCTCTGAATTGCTATTCATTCATTCATTCACTCATTCATTCAATCATGTGTCACTGAGTATCTTTCATGTAGAAGGCACTACTGCCAGCTACTATACTTACAATGATGGCAAAACCAGGTCAGTTCCTGCTCTCATCATGAAGCTAAACGAATGGTTGGGAGAGAGACAGTAATCAAATAATCCCACGAATTAATGATAACTACAGGCAGATCCCAGTTCCATGAGAGACTGTAACAAAGGACTTGAGTAGACTGGGTGTGTGTGAATGGGGAGCGGGTTCATCCAAGGCTTTTTTGTGGAAGTAGCACTAGAGTTGATATTTGAAGGACAAGTAGGAGTAAATGGGGAGAATGGTGTAGGGCTGGGAAAGAACAGTCCATGCCAACGGAAGAGCGAGTACGAAGGACCTATGATAGGAGTGAATGAAGTGAGAGACGGTAGTTGGAACCATGATGTAAATAAGTTCACCCAGCAAGTGCCCTGTCCCCCTGTCTGTCTGCCCAAAGAACTTTGCACATCAGCTGACGAATGGAAGCAACATGGGCTTTCCTGGGTGCAGATAAAATTCTCCCTCCCTCCCTATCTGATGAAGAGAGTTGGGTTCACTCAATCTCATGTGATTTCCCTAGGACAATTCAAAAAAAATCTCAGTTGAATAACTAACAAAGTAACTTGTTTGTAAATTAATTACTTAGTGAATATTGCTACAAAGTTTTGTAACACCTCTGGAATTTTTCCATTTTCACAAAGAAAATCAGTTTTTCCTGGAAGAAAATCAATCTTTCATTTTTCTTATCATAGACACTTAGAGAACCAAAGTTTGTTTTATTCCCACCATAGAGTTCCCTGATGGAGAGTAAAAATAATTCACACATTTAGAGTGTGTGCATGTGTGCACACTTGCACACGCACAAACACACACACACTCTTTTGGCTTTCTCCTTATTTTTCTTCCCGTATGTTTTTGCTTTCTTTTCTGTAAATGTTGAGGATTTAGATTGGATGGGTTTATTTTACCTAACCTTCCTCCTGACCACAATCACTTCTTTAGATTATGGATGCCTTGGATAGTAATGTAAATATAGGCAAGATGCATATATAAAAATCTACTAATCAGGACTCCAAGATATAGCTTTTGAAAGGTGAAAAAAAAGTGGTAGAAAGACATTATTAAAAAAAAGCCAGAATTGCTTAGTAAAAGATCATATGTAACTAACACCTACTACTTTGGGATTTCTAGAACTTTGCCTCTTGTGTCACATTCATGTTCTATGTTAAGCTAAAGCTTATCATTGTTTGATTACAGAAAATGTGTTTAATAAGCACCATAATTATTGCAGACTCAGGAGATCTTATCTTTCAATCACTCTGGGACCTTTGTAGAGGTTTGTGGTTAGAAGACTGAGTTAAGGAGAATAAAATTACATTTCTGATCCGTCTTGAACCCCCTGCAGTATGTGGGTTTTCTTAATGTTTTCTCCAAAAGATTTTCAACTGGGGATATTACAACTTCTTACAAACAGTCTCAGCAGGATGAGTCTTAGCAAGGCCAACTTATACCAGAGAAATGAAATAATATAGATATTGAAAGAATCATCCTGCATATAAATTCTTCTGACCCATAGTGCAATTCTCAGGCCAATGACCTTTTCTTCAAAGTTTTTCTTATCAGCCCTCAAATGGAAGATGTAAATGCTCTTTTCCTTTAGAAAAATTCAAAAACTTAAAGAAACCATCTAATACAAAAATTCTGATTTTATCCTTCAAAACATTATCAATATCAGCAGAAATGTTAAAATCATAGTTAGCAACATTTTAATAGTTTTGAACATCTGAGAAGAATGAACCCTATTAGATACGGCACTCAGTGTGATTAAAGAGGTATAGTACCCGTTCTCTGTTGTTGTTGGGTATTGTTGAGTAGATTTTGACTTCCAGTGACCCCATGTGACAGAACAGAACTGTCCCATAGGGTTTGATCTTTCTCCTGTGAAGCCAGTGGGTGGATTCCAATGGCCAACCTTTCAGTTAGCAGTGGAGAACTTAACTGTTGCACCACCAGGGCTCCTACCTGTTCTCTAGGGTGATTAGAATATAGAAATACCAGTAAAAAGTGAACAAATATGGGTAGAAAAACAAAAACTAACCCTTAATATTCAGATTTTAAGACTCATCGCTAGCATTCGAAAAGAACACACAAGTCATCCCTCGGTATCTGTGGATGCTCAAGTCCCTTATACAAAATGGTGTAGTATTTGCATATAATCCACGCACATCCTCTCATATACTTTAAATCATCTCTAGATTACTTATAATACCTAATACAATGTAAATGCTATGTAAACAGTTGTTAATGCTTACAGTTAATGCTTTCTCAGTCTTCGGAAGCTCAAAAGAGTGCTAGAGAGAGACTGAGGATCTGTGAAATGTCGGGAAGCTACAGGGGCTATGCTTACACATCATTTCATTCCTGTGGATTCAGTGTAAAGCTCTGTGCAAGGCAAGTTTTGCTTTTTGGAACTTTTTTTTTGTTTTCCCGAATATTTTCAATCCTCGGTTGGTTGAATTCGCGGATGAGGAACCTATGGATACAGAGGGCCAACTGTATTCCTATTTGTGTTTTTAATAATGTACCAAGTGCTAAAAGATATAGCATGGTGTCTATATCACAAATTACTAACATGCTATGGTCATGAAAACGTTTGGGTGTGTTAGAAAAATCACTGGTCCAGAGGCTCTTGTCCTGGCCATTGATTGACCAAATCTAATGACTATGCACTTTTGGGGGATCCAAATAATCAACCAGTCCTAAACCTATCCTCCCTGTTACAGACACAGAAGAGCCAAGAGAATAATCAACCATCTAAGTAAATCCTTATAAATTTGGTTGATATTTTCAGGCAAAGAAACTTTTCTTTCAAGCTCACAGATACTTCTCATTAGAATCTGACTTCCCACTATGGAAAGTGTCTTGTATGAATGATTGAATATCTGCATGCATTTGTTTCTAGAAGAAAAGCAACATAGTGTAGCTAACCTGGGATCATGTCCTTCCTAAAAGCTGGACAAGACGCTCACTCTTCTGGCTCTAGTTTAACTTGATAAATGTAAATGCAAAATATGAAATGAGTGACTGTAATAAGATAGTGTTGGTGAGGTGCATGGGTCACGTAGGTCCTAGGAAGCCAGGGTAAGGAGTTAGATTTTATTTTGAGTGAGATGGGAAGGCCCTGGAGGTTTTTAAAAGCTGGGCAAGGACACTATCTAATTATGTTTGTTGGAAGATTATTTTGGCTGCTCTGTGGAGAATGGATAGGCGAAAGTGAAAGCAGGAAGAGGAGGCCCTTGTCCCAGAGAGAGAAGATGGTGGCTTGGGAAGTTACAGTAGGGATGGAGGAGCAGTAAATAGATTCTGTTGGACATAGAAGATAGGTACAGAAATTAGGCCACCTTCCTGCAGACAAATATCAGCAATTGTCCTGTAAGACTGAGACTGCAGTGACAACCGTCTAGCTTCATTCAGTTGCCTGCTTCTGTCTTAATTTCCTTGGTTGTTGCTAATGGCACTTCAGTCTTGGATTGGACCAAAACTATAACATGCATCCAGGAATCTGTGTGGCCTTGAGCAAATATTCAACCTGTCTGGGCCTCCAGTCATCTGTACACAAAAGAATTTGAATTGCTATTTTATTTCTAAGCCCACAAGATCTAACTGTCTATGATACTGAGCAGAGGTTGAATCATATGACAGAAAACATGAGCGTGAAGGTGGTTGTGTTTACAAGATACTTGAAACACGAACAGACAGTGTTTATGAGAATTTATGGCTATTGGAGATAGAGATGGTATGTTAGGGAGAACAGATAGCATATCAAGGATAGT